ATCCATACATCTGTAATTTGACTTCGTCAACACTTTTCATGCTTCCTTTGCCTCCTCGTCCATGCCTTAATCGGTGCCTTAATTTCTCTGAAGATAAATTTCAGAAACGTTTCATAGTTTACAGCATCTCAACATAAATAATTTTCATTAGATTATTTTTTACAAGTTTGATTACAGATGGTATTGTAATCTATACTTCATAAATCTGATTTTTACCAATTTTGTTTTTGATGATATTGTAATCTATATAGTCAATTAATTTCATTTTACAGTTGCCTGTGATAGCATATAAATATAAATGAATTCTGTACGTTGGGGCGCCTGGGTGGCTCAGTCGGTTAAGCGTCTGCCTTTGGCTCAGGTCATGATCCCAGGATTGAGCCCTGCGTCGGGCTCCCTGCTCTGCAGGAAGCCTGCTCTCCCTCTCGCCCTACCCCTTCTTGTGTTCCCTCTCTTGCTGTGTCTCTCTCTGTCAAATAAATAAATAAAATATTTAAAAAATAAATAAATGAACTCTTGTTTCAGGTTGCATTTCCTAGGAATCAGACTCTGAGATTAGCAGGGAGGATAGGGGGCACAAGGGCCAACTTTGGCAGAGCAGAATCAGTGATGACCACCCAGTAAAGATGGTCCTGACATTAATGATTGATGTTCAAATGGTAACCCAATCATGCATTTCTGGAATAGAGCCCACTTGAATATATTATCCTTTTGTTATAGCAGTGAATTTAATTTTCCAGTATTTTGTTTAGATAGTTTGCAGTGACATTCATAAGACTTATTGGCCTGTATGTTTCCTTGTGCTCCTCCATCTTTCTTGGGTAGTTTAATCAAAGATTTCATCTAATTTATCTGTCATTTCAAAGCACCGGCAACTGGATTGATTACAAATTGTGTATTTTTTCTATTTCTTAAGTTATATTTGTTTTGACTTCCTTGTTTCCATATTCTTTTCTACAGCATTAATTAGGTTTATTTCTTGTTCTTTTTGTAATTTTTAAATAATATAGTGCATCTCATTTTTGTGAACTTTATTGAGATATAATTTATATACAGTAAAATACACACATTTAAATGTAAAGTGTGCAACTTTTGACAAATATGACCACCACCAAAATCAAGCTGCAAATTCTCCCCTCCAACCCCCCAGTGTCCTCCTGCCTCTTTGAAATCAGATTCAAACCCAGGCAATAATTGATTTGCTATCTCTCACTATAGACTAGTTTGCTATTTTTTTTTTGACGGTATATACTGTTGTCCAGTTTCATTTGCTCATCATATTTTTGAATTTTGTCCAGTTTGTAATGTGTATCAGCAATTCACCTTTTAATTTCTGTATTAATGTAATCTCAGTGTGAATATACCACAATCTATTTCCCCACTGACATTTTTGGATGTTCAGTTTGCTTCCAGTTTTCAGCTATACTGAGTAAAAAACTTTGCACAAGTCTTTATTTGACATATATTTTCATTCCTTTTGTGTAATACCTAAGACTGGTATTTCAGGCTAATTTGGCAATTGTATGTTTAATCCATGTAAGAATATGAAATTCTTTTCAAAGCAGCTGTACCATTGTACATACCCATTATCAAGTTTGGAAGAAAGCTTCCTGTGTCTGCTTCCAAAACATAGTCATATATACAATAGTACATATCTGGTAGCATTTATTTGGTACCAAATTTGGTACTCTCACCCTAATCCAGAATACAGGTCTCTCTTGTTACTTCCTTTCAATGAGAATGTTTCTTCTCCAACTTGACTCATTTCCCATTTAGCAGAGTGATCTATTTCAAAAAATAAATCTGGATCATGTTCTGCCCTACTTCAAACCAGTTGGTGAATTAAACTAAAATTAGAGTTAAAATAATTAAACTAAAATGGAGTTAAACTAAGATCTAACTTAGCAGGGTCCATTAGGAACTGTGTCATCTGGCTTCTGTCCCCCTTCACACCCTCAGGTTTTGGCCCTAACGTTCTTATTCACTGGACTTTACCTACAGTTTTCTTTTAGTTTTTTTCTGAGAGCTCTTTCCTGATCTAGAAGTAAATTCATCTAGGAAACTCTCTCAGAACATCCAGTTATTGGACTACAAAGTAATGATTGGTTCTCTGTAATTATTTGTATGACTATGGCTTAATGTTTTCCCTCCTCAAAATTCTCCTAGAAACTTGAGAGCTCCAGCGCCTACAGATTTGGGGCAAAGTGTAGGGATTTAATATATACATATTGCATAATGCATAAATGTCGCTTCCTGGATCACTTTGTAAGAATTATGTACTAAAGAATTAGGTAGGGCGCCTGGGTGGCTCAGTCGTTAAGCGTCTGCCTTCGGCTCAGGTCATGATCCTAGGGTCCTGGGATCGAGTCCCACATCGGGCTCCCTGCTCTGCAGGAAGCCTGCTTCTCCCTCTCCTGCTCCCCCTGCTTGTGTTCTTGCTCTCGCTATGTCTCTCTCTGTCAAAAAAATAAATAAAATCTAAAAAAAAAAAAAATTAGGTAATAAAGACAATAGATGAACTTTTAATTTAAAAATAATTATATTGCAGTAGGTGATTTTTTTAACCTATAAAACTTAATGAGGTATTTTAGTTTTGTCATATAGCTCCCATATTATTTTCAGTTGTCTGTTTCCTTGGTATTTTTTTAAAACTACTTTCTCACCAGACTGCTTAATTTTTCTTTTTCTTTTTTTTCTACAATGGTATATTTTATGAATCCTACTTTAGTTCTATTAATGATTATCCATAAATTTTTAATTGTATTTATTTTCTGAAACATCAAGAAGGAACACACACACACACATATATAGTTGTACCCTGTTATTTGCAACTTGCGTAAAATTAGAGCCCTAGTATACAGTGTCTTCTTCCCTCTCACCTGTCCCTGCACCCCCTTTGAAGCACCTAGTACTTTTTTGTTTTATAGGGCAAATTTTATATTTTCCAAATAATTATTTTTCCAAAGAAGGGATCAGACTGGATATATGAAATGGAGCGCTTGGTTACTGTGGTCATGGTAGGAAAGTGCACTGATTTATTCAGTAATTGTTGATTCTCAGAGTTTCCATGTCTGGATAGGTAGATAGAATTGCCTTTGTCCCTCCTATCCAGTTGCATCCTCCCCACCCAAGGTGTTGCCTTCTACTTAGATATGCTTATGTATTTCACAACCTCAATTATATGTAAGGAAGAATCTGGGGTGGGGGAATGGTGGGGAGGGCATGTTGTAGGGGGGAAGTTACTATTGAGTTGAGTCCCTTCTTTTATATAATTATTACAGTACTCTGAAGTTAAGATCTCTCTATCTCTCCTATCTCTTCTGTAACTGAATACAACTCTCCCCATTTGGAAATTGCTGTGGCCCAGACCCTCTTTCACTGATGAACCTATCTGCCTCAAGGGAAATCAGGTGAATCACACCATGAGCCCCCTAGAATAGTGGGTCACTATTCTAGCTCCTTATGTCCTTTGATTTGACTTTCATTGATTGTCACGTGCTCTTCTCTTGGTCTTAGCCTCTCCTGTTACATCTTTGAAGTTTCTGAGGGCCCTATTTGTGGAATTTCGTATCACTTTCCATTATGCTTGTGGTTAATCTCGGACAAGTCTGCATTTCTTTTACTCCGATGTCATCTGCCTCATATTCTGCAGAAAAAGAATTGAAAATTTCAGTACGTGTTTAGATTTTTCTTAGTCTTAAAAAGTCTTTCTCTGGGCCGTTCAGCAAGATTTTGGAGGGAAGGAAGGGACGTAAGTTAAAAAGATTTGCTCAAATGCGCAAGTTGAAATAGATGTCAAATTGCACTTGAGTACAGAGTACAATAAAACTTATTATTAATACATGCAATGTTTTTTCTTTATTCTAAGTTGCAATCCTCCTGTGACCTAGAGCAAGAACTCTTCTTTCTTTTCTGAATTTTTCTATAAAATTAGAGTATATTTTTTATATTCTCCACAAAAATATAAAAATTATGTTTCATATTTTAAAATAGGGTAGGCGATTATTTAAGTAGTAACTACTAAGCAATTTAAAAAATACTGATTTATAAAAAATGGGGAGAATATGGTAGGAGTTGAGTGTTTGCACAGAGATAAGGTCTAAAACTGAAAAAAAAATTGAAAAAATATGATATAAACTAATGCTTTCAAACTATGGAGAAAAATACCAGATAAAACAGCCACAATATTTGAGTATTTTTACTGAAGGATAGAATGTGGGGAAGAGAGCAGTGGTCAAATGGGAGTCCTGCAGGTTTTCACAATAAACCTTAAGTATAATTTGTGTTTTTACATGATGTAGACACATTACCCTGATAAGAGTAGAAATTTCATGAAAGAGTAGAATTTCATAAAAATAAAATTTACTGGCCTTCATATCTTAAGAAATTTTACAAAGAAGCTTTAAATATGAATGGAGGACAAAGACAATTAAAACATCTAGGTATTGCCAAAAACAATAACAACAAAAAAACAAAAACAAACAAACACCACAAAAGGTATTGCCAGAGTATATGTATACAACATGTAAGCCAGGCTTGCTCATTTATTTTAATTACTGTCACAAAACTGTCAAGAAAAACTACATAATAAAGTGCAAATATGAGTATGCGCCCTTCAATCAGCATCCAATTCTATGATTATTTGCAGATGTGCTAATTAATTTTGCTCCGGCTTCTAAACACCAGTATTGGTGAACTCTACATGAATTTAATTAAATGTCCATATAAAAGATATTATCAATAGCTCTAAAATTATAAAATCATTTTAAACAATAATGAAGCACCCTACTTCAGTTTTTTTCTCAATTTTTATTTAGAAAGTTCAGTGAAACAACATATCACAGTTTAGAAATATTTTAATCTCACTATAATTTAACACTTACAAAATTTAGTAAGTTTTGATTTTCAACAATAAAATTTATAAAAATAATTTTACATTTATAAAATGAATCATTATTTCACAATAAATTATTCATATTTATTACCTAAAAAAAGTTTTGTGCTATATAAAAGCAATAAGTTTCATTATCAATATTTTGAAAATATGCTGAAAACTTCCATTCCTCTTTGTCCAGCATTTTTGGCAGTTAAGTATACAAAAATATTATATTAAAAATTCCCTGACCATAGTTATTAAAACAAAATCGTTAGCAATAATTTCCAAAACAAAGTTGTTTAGTAAGTATATGCAGAGAAGTTAAAGGGCTCATCTTTAAAGATGAAAAGCATGAAACTGAGACGCTAGAGTAAATTTCCACAAAATAAGAGTGAAGTAAACTTTCCTCTTCCCTCATTCACTCTCAAAGATATATTTTATAGTTTTCAGGTACCAGCTATTGAAGGAATTTTGATTTTATTAAATCAATGATACCTTCTAATTAACCATTTTCCTACTCTGAGTTAATAAGTTAACATTAACAGAACCTTTTTCTTTGTAGGGTATGTGGGGGCTATGAAATTTCAGAAATTTTGAGATTCTGTAAAAATCACTGAATTCAGTCTCTTACAGATTGGGACACTATTTTTTTTTTTTTATATCACTGATAATTACTCAACCAATTTTTCCTTGTTTCTGGAAATAAAATGTGTATGTTGTGTGTGTGTGTGTGTGTGTGTGTGTGAGAGAGAGAGAGAGAGAGAGAGGGAGAGAGAGATATCACTGTTTTCCAGATGGTCCATCACTGTTTTTAAATAAGCTTCAGCTTTAGATCAAATAGGGTTCCAATGAACTCCTCAGTCCACTGGATTTTTGAAAAATCTGCTGAGTCAGTGATTTGAATTTGTGTTTTTTTAATCATAACCTATCTGGGATTCTATCTTTTATTTTCTTTAATTTGTTTTCAAGTTTTTCTTTTTTAGGGGAAAGACATTAAAACTACAACAGTGGTTTCTTATTTGTGATGCAACAAATTTACACTCATTGATTACAGGTAAATATGTGCTAAGGTAACAAGATGGATAGGATTCGGTCATCACTCAATTGCATACATTTAAAAACCATAGTGAAAAGCTCACATTTTTCATCCCACCTCAAAGATTTATTCTCACTAAAGTCAAGCAGACCTGGGCATGAAGCTGGTGGCTCTCCTACTCCTCAGGTTTATGAACATTGGTTATGTACCCTCTAAGCAATTGGTTTCTTCATTTGTAAGTGAAAGATAATAAGAGCTCTTTGATAGGGATCCTGTGAGTCTTAAGTAAGGCAATGCACGTGTGACAGATGGTGGCTTGTCTCCCAATAGCAGTCTCCCAGAGTGGTGCAGTTTAGTGGGCACAAAGCTTGCCACCTAAAGCCTGCTTCCCAGCCTCCCTGGGAACTGGATGCAAGCACGCTCTAAGTTCTAGTCAATGGATGACTACTTCTAGATTGTTTTAGGACAGAAAATCAATGTCTCTTGGTCGAGCCACTGTTTTAAGGTTTTCCTTTTTTTTTTTTTTTTTAACCATTTATCCTATGTCCTAACTGGTAAAGCAAACATGTTTTATCTCAAGATACATCTTCAAATAGAGGCAGATTACAAGGACTAGCCAGTCATCCTTGGAATGGCTATTTATGATTTCCTAAGCTAAATATAGGCATATTTAACTGTGAGCCAGAAAGATGCTTCTTAGCCATAGGATATCCAGAAGCGATTCTTCTTCAAAGAAATATTTCCTGTTCTATAGCAACTGCTTTAATTTTCTAATTTGCAAGTTTAAAATTGATAAAAAAAAAAAAACACCTTGGTTCATTTTACATTAATCTGGAGTTGCTGATCTACTGTTCTGGTCAAAAAAAGAACACTTGGTTCTGCATCACATCACAATGAAGCAATTATTTACAGATTTAAATTAATATCAAGACAACAAATGACAGTAGTACACAAGATTCAACTAGTTCAGGAACAGTGCAAGGGAAGCTGGAAAAATACACTATACAAACATATGGGAACTCAGATATACACTGCTTGAATTGGAAAGTTTTAACCAATAGTGACAACAAACAAAATGAGACTATAACAAAAAAAACAGGATACCATCTTATAACAGCACCATGAAGAAACCTTGGCCAAGAGTTTGCCGAAAGTACTATCCTGAGTTATTTCAAGACCAACAAGTTTTCACATTTACGCAATGCCGCTCAGAAGTAAACACAGTCTCACAATTGCTTTTGTTTGGAGAGAGGCTGGTGTGAAATCACTGAAGCTTGGTTGGCGCCTATTCTGTACTGTTCTTGTCCAGAGCCTTGTGGTGGGGAAGGGAGTGGGGTCTCAGGAGTTGCTAAAAAAGAAACAGAGAATTGTACATGATGGTGACCGTCAGCCTGACTCAACCCAGGAAGTCCTGCATGACACCAATATGCACTATTTTATTTTGGAGGTATTTTTAAAAGATCATATATATACAGTAGGATTATCTAATACATTATGAGCTCGTTGAGGTCCTACTGGAATTGCACTGCCTTCTGAACTCCCAGATAGCATTCAAATGGAATAGAGCATGCTTGAACATTTTAAAAGTCACTTAATAGTCCCTTAAAAGTCACTTCCTGCGTTTCTTAATAGCATTTATGAGCATTTCATTCTCTTACAGACCTAGCAGAAAAAAAGTCAATACAAAGAATTAACAGAAGGCTAGTTTTTTTTTCCCCTCAAATCTTAGAAAACTTCACATTTTTTGCAATAAAAAATGCACATAAAATAAAATATATTTGGTTTGGATTCCACTCAAACATCAGACATCAGAGAGAGATCACTGATATCTCTCTGATGATATTTGTTGCATTCCACTCAAACATATTGTATGACATAAAAAGTTAAGATACTTTTCAAGTGCTTTGAAACCTATATCGTAGGTAAAGTCATCTGAAAATACTTGCTTTTTTGCTTCAAAATTATTGTTACTGTTGAGCTCATCTGTCTCTTCCCCATCAATGCAAAGAGCAAGCCCAAGTAATGGAAAAACAAAGTTACAGTTTGAATACTTCATTGTTTAGAACAGTATATCCTCCTATTGCAAACTTTTACTATATTATAAAATAATCTAGGAACTATTCTAGATTTTTAATTTTAAAAAACTTGAAATATTTTAATATTCACATTTATTATCATTCCACATATTTAATAGAATAGAAAATGTTTGATGATCATACTGAGGCATTTCAAACTTTATAGATTTTTTCCCCAAAATATCTTTTAAAAATTCTATATAAAAATAAGAAAAGTTCCCTTTTGCCTGATTTTCATTATTAGAAACAACATTTTTAGATACAGTTTAATTGACAAAAGAATAATCAGATTTGCTTTAAAAGATTATTTCTGGATATTTGGGATGAATCTAAGACTACAGTGGCCTGCTCTAAAAGGCCAGGAAAACACATATGAACTTAAATTTTTCTGTGTGTATGTGTTTAATGTTTTGCTTTGCATGAAACAAATGATTCTTATAAATATTATGTTGAAAGAGAGAATAAAAATGAAAAATAGGATATGATTTTAAAAAGATTAGGGTCAGTAAATATGCTTTAAAAAATACTAGAAAACTAGCATTTAAAAAGTAAAAGATTCAACCACCAGCAGAATTGTTAAACTTTCTTGCCAGTTGATGCCTATAATGTTTAATATGCTGTTAATGTGTTTTATTTTCTGAGTTTATGAATAACTGATCTCTACAGAGATGGTAATGGGCTTGCCTCTCTGTTCTTGGCTACGAAATGAAAATGGTAACATTTGCTTCACAAGGATGGTCCCAAATTAATGTCTTTCAAGTACAATTATATCCACAGGTTAAGTATGTCATATTATTTCCATAATTTGTATATTTTTCTAAGAATTTTACTTCTGCCTCTATCATATATTCAAAGAACTTTTTGTTTCAGACACAATTTACACATGGGTTTCCCAGTGCTTGTATCTAAGGGATAGCAGTGGTAATAAGTATTTCTGTGGCTTCTACTTTTCTTATCTCTAGGTAGCAGTGAGATCACACTCACTAAATTGGTTACATTTCATTGAACATTTCCATGAAAACACATAAAACTAGTTATTAAGGGCTACTGTAAAGTCAGTAGGTAATACAGTTATGCATCACAATTATATGACAATAGCTCAAGGAATCTCGGTGAGTTAGCCGGTTTAATGTTAAGAGGAGATAGATCAGGGCGCCTGGGTGGCTCAGCCGGTTAAGTGTCTGCCTTGGGCTCAGGTCATGATCCTAGGGTCCTGGGATTGAGATCGAGCCACGCATCAGGCTCCCTGCTCCGTGGAGAGTCTGCTTCTCCCTCTTCCTCTACCCCTCCCCCCTGCTTGTGTGCTCTCTCTCTCGATCTCTCTCTCTCAAATAATTAAATAACATCTTTTTAAAAAAGAGGAGATAGATCAAAGGCAAGTCTGGGATTACTTAGTATAAATTGAGAAACAATTCTAGAAATTTTGTCAAATAGAGATTTTTATCTTGGGGGTAGCTTATAAAAATAGAATTTGTGTTAAATCTGCAATACTATCAGATTAACTTAGCTACTAACCCCTACTTTATATAATCATTTTAGTTCCAAAGAGCTTTCCCAGAGGCCCTCACTTTGCACAAATGACGTGCACAAATTTCAGTTATCACGGCTTGGCTAAATAGCACCAGTCCTGCAAAAACATGGTTCGAATTTCAGTGAGCATGGTAACTCACAATTAACTGCGAGTAACTGCATACATACAAACTTCACTGCTAACTCTTCGGTCTACATTAATTACCTCGATAACAGAGGTGCATTATGATCAGTGACCAATCACATCACATCTTTAAGTTTGTCTGCGACTGGTCACTGAATATATTTTACTCAGTTCATGTAACTGACAGCTTAAGTGTGTAGCTGTGTTCCCTCCTTGTCTCCTAGTGATAAATTCTCATATTCTCATGACATTTTGCAAAAAATGGATAAAGCATAAGTGGCAAAAAACCCCCCCAAAAACAAAAAGTGATCATGCAGGAAGTGAATGGAGCATGATGGAGTTACAGAATGAGCTGCCCCTGGGAATGCGGACACTGCTGCTGAGTCTCTAAATCTGCATTCTGGAGCTTAGTGAAGGAAAACTGATGGACATTAGTGAAGAAACTGATTGTGTTGAAAAGGATGAAGATGTCCGAGAGGAAGTGAAACCTGTAAAAAAACCTTCACATTAAATGGGTTCTCAGGGACATTTCACAACGCAGAGTACTAACCACTATACGATCACGGTGAGCTACCGGGGACCCTCTCAGGGACATTTCAGACATGGAAAGTGCAAAGGGTAAAATGTTGGAAGCTGATCCAAACTTCCAAAAGAGGAAAATTGATCAAGGCATAGAAAAGATGCTCACTTCCACTTGCAAGGTAGAGGAGGAGAAGGTGGCAAGGACTGTTCAAGCTACACTTCATAATTTTTTAAAATACTATTTATTTATTTATTTATTTGAGAGAGAAAGAGAGAGAGAGCACAAGTGATGGGGACGGGCAGAGGGAAAAGGAGAAGCAGGCTCCCCGCTGAGCAGGGAGCCGGGCGTGGGGCTGAATCCCAGGACTCCTGGATCATGACCTGAGCCAAAGGCAGACACTTAACCGACTGAGCCACCCAGGTGCCCCTACACTTCATAATATAATAATATTTTTAATGAAGAAATAAAATACGATAATTCTCAGTGAATCTAATGTTTACATTACAGTGTACTAAATAAATATCAGGATTATTATTTTTCAATTTCCCTCTACATTTATAACCTGTAGTTAAGAGAGTTCTTAATGTTTTGGCAAACATTTTTAAAAGTCACAAGCAAACTATAATTTTCCTATTGATTATTAAGATTTCTTTGCACGGTTCCAGCTTGCACAGTCCTTCATATGGTCCTGCACTACCAGGCAAAACTGGGACCGCCCATACATCCTGTTGTACTTTAGAAGCATTTACGAACTCACATCCCATTTTAGGGAGCAAACTCATGCCTAAGGAGAATAAGTGACTTGCTGAACGTCACAATCTCCCACAGTTGAGTCCTAGAGAGGAAACTGTACCTAATTTTTGCAACTTCTGGACACTGATAGATTCTTTCCCCAAATTCCACTTTTTCTCAGGTAATTAAGTTTAAAAATTAATATGGTTGAAAAGTAGCCCAGATACTTACAGATCTGGTCCGTATGAACCAGTGTTGACATGGGACCTAAAAGTATAGTTTGTCCAGTTAATGGATCTTGAGACAAATGTGGATGCATGGGATGATGGAGATGACTAGCTTCATTGGAAGCACCTACAGAAGATAAAAAGATGCTTGCGTTAGTGATATTTGATCAAGTTTACCTTGCAACAAATGTGATTGACAGCTTAAATATTGCTATTTTTGCAAAGTGCTTTTTGGGATTTCAAAAAGAATTAATAGAACCACTGCCATATTAAGGACAATGTCAGCTTTCACTGTGCATTGGCTAGATTAATGTTGTATCATATTATGTGGTATATTAATAATGGACCTTGTGTGCCATTTCCTGGAATCATTAGATTTGCTGCCTGTTGTTAAGGCAATTCCAAGAATCACTTACCTCAAGTTTATAGTATTTGGGATCACACTAATAGCATAAACAACTTTTATTTCAGAAAGATGTCATTAGGAACACATTAAGCACCAGAAAACTAAAACTAAACTAAACTAAAATAAAGTGATTTTACAAGGAAATTTAATCTAGATCAGAACACAAAATAAATGATTTCTTAACTTGTTCCTGACATTTATTGCCTCAACAAAATCTTATTTTTCCCTTCTCATTGTGTTATGTCAATTAATTATTTCAGGAGCAAAGTGTTTATTTTTAAGGTATTTACTATAAATATGTTTAGGTAATGTTGCAAAGCTGGTATCCTTGAGCTTTTAAAGGAGTCAAGGCTTAGAAAAACACAATCCACCCCAAGGAGTACGAAAAATTGGAAATATATTTCTATTTACCATATTTGAAAGGATAAAAACTAGGGCAAGAGGAACTGTGTGGCACAAAGAGGGTGGAGACCAGGAAGAATGAGGATTTCAATACATTCAAGTACTTTTGTCTCCATCCAGTGGGTTTTGCAGACTTTGTAAATGTAAAAAATTGAGTTCATTATGTCACGGACAAAAAATAAGTAGGTCAACCTTGTACAGAGTGGGATGCTAATAAATAAAATGGGAATTCTTAAATGTACTCACCACCCAGTAACATTTCTTGAAGTAGATTGTCAATTTTAACCATCCCAAAAAGTTTAACGAACTGTATTTGCTCAATCATTTGCCAAGTTATGCTCTGCAGCGTGGGAAGGAGCAGAAGTAGCTCTCCAAACCTCCCCCGGGAGTCGTACTGCCTGTCGTTGATGTAGTCCTCCAAACTGAGCTGCACTTGGAACCGCATGTTCTTAATCTTTACTGGATCACTTAGCCCTTTTGCATCTATAAAAAAGGAAGAAAAAGGGCAATCTAAAGATTGAATCTTACTTGAGTGTGAGAGTAAACATTCTAATATGAAATAATAGTTTACTTTTCATTATCATTTTTTTAATGGAATTCTGAAAACAAACCTGGATCAAAAAATACAATTGCCTTCAAACAAGCATATTCATTGTCATCAATCTGAATTTCTTGAAATGGTCGTACCAGCTCGTCTAGAACCCGGTTGGCCACACGGCTGATCTCAATTTCACTGCTGTTGCGGTGAATTACATAGTTGTTCCCTAGGGGAAAAAAAGGTCAGCCGCCCCCCAACAAAAGATCGTCAGATGTGATTAGTTTTTTACAAATCGATGTTTTAAATGCCTCTTTCCTTGAAAGAGTAGTAACAGTACTTCCTTTCAATAGTGTTAGGTTAGTTATGTTAGAAAAACTTAAGAACACGTCAAGGATCAATGACATTGATAATATGATCACATGCATTTTAACAGTCTCAGTCACTAGTGATAACACGAAAGTACAGACCAATAACAAGCTAATAATTGACAGGGGAGAAACAAAATATAATGATTAGCCTTCCACTATGTCAGTTATCTATTAGTGTCTTATTAATGAGCGTAACACAAAACCTAAAGAAACTTTCTTGCTTACACTGGATAAAAATAGGACTCCTTTAGTGGTCTACATATATGTAGTTGTAATAACTCTTGAGACACAATTTTAACAAGTCTAAGTAGATGAATTCAAGGAAGTCCAGAAACTGGATAGAGACTAGACTACCTAATCCCTAAGGCCGCTCTAATTTAGAAAGTCTCTGGCTATAATAGAAAACAATGACAAAAGCTCCTACGATAACAGCTAGATTGTTATTTTCTGGTTTTATAAAAAGCAGAACATTCTGAATTCTTTCACTGCAGGCAAAGATAATCTTCAGTGTAACAACATGTGTGAAACAACTCAAAAAATGTAACCTTGCTCTTCTTATGAAAAGTTAGTTTACCTAATTATTCAAGGTAAAACAATTTAGAATTAGGTAGCAAAGACATTTGGGTTTTTACGTATATAGTATTCATCTATAATGAGAACATTATTATAGCAGACTTCTAAATGCAAGAGAGTGTTTAACAGAATCTAAAGCATAGTCTCTGCAGTCACATTATGTGGTTTAGAATCCTGGCTCTATCCCTTACTAACTTTGTGACCTTAGGTAAACTTTCTCTGCCTGCATTTCATCACCTACAGAGTAACAGTACCTACCCCTTAGGGTTGTCATGAGGATTACAAGAGATAGTGTGTATTTACATGTAAAGCACTTACAACAATGCATCTTACATAGTATGTCCTCAACAAATATTAGCTATTGTTATATTACATTCAATTTATATCTATTTTGGGACATAACATCTATCACAAAAATAGAATAAATAATCTGGTCATCATTTCATAGAGCCAGAGAGAGGTGGAGGTAATAGTAATAATCATTACAGGGATCTCAACTCTCTCAACAAGAAACCTAATTTAAAAGGTGAAGTACAGGGGCGGGAGGGGGATGGGGATGGGGATTGGAGCAATTACTTGAGGAAAACAAAAGCTTTCCCTTTTGTCTTATCCCCCCTTCAACCTGCCATCCTACTTTGCCTCTTCCAGCACTGCTACTTCACTATCAGAATTTTCAGACAGTCACCAAATTATTTTTTTTAACTTGGGATTTTGCATCATACGTAAGCAATGATATCATAGGAAATAAACATGTCCTTGAAAGTGTATAAAACAATATAATTACGAGTATTAAGTAGACACTGAAGGAGTGTGAAACAACACTGAGACTCCAATAAAGTGGTCACACAAGTCACTAATTCTTTGTCCTGATATGATTCAAACATAATTCAATATTACATTTATTGAGCAACATTTCTTTTTTATTTTTTAAATCTTTCTCAGTTTTAGTGAGAAATCATGGACATATATCACTGTATAAGTCTAAGGTGTACAGCATGATGGTATGACTTACATATATTGTGAAATGATTGCCACAATAGGTTCAGCTAATGTCCATTTTCTCATCAATACAATAAAACGAGAAGGAAAAAAATCCCCTTGTGATGAGAATGCTTAGGATTTACTCTCTTAACAATTTGCCCACATATTATACAGCAGTGTTAGCTCTAGTCACCATGTCGTATGCTGTATCCCTAGTATTTACTGAACTTCCAACTGGAAGTTTGTATGTTGTGACCATGTTCTCCAACTCTTATTTTTAAATCTTAATGCACCCTGAACGTCTCAATGCCCTCAATGCCCTCTAAACTTCCTTGCGATCAAGTCAAGGAAAGATAGGGCCTTGAGTGAGGACACAATCAATTAAATCCAATTTGTGAAGTGAGAGTACCATTTGACAGTGTCTATGAATGCTCGGTACCTACAGAATAGATCCGTGTAAGGATAAAGCATGCATAATTTCTTCTTAAATTAAAAAAAAAAAAAAATTTACCCAAAAGCAAAATATCTTTATACACCATGGATCTCTTCGTAGCTCCAAGCAGTAAATGTTCCCCTGCGTGAGCTCTCAACAGTGCCACCTTAATGAAAAATTTCAAGTTTATCAATTAATTATAAAATATAACGATTAAAAGATGGTATAATATGTGTCTGATTAACTCAGTGTTCTTTAAGCCTGGGACCTTTTTTGTTTGTTTGTTTTAATAAACTACAATAGTCATAGATACTTGCCATCATTAAGCCTTCTATTTTTCTATTTTAGCATGTCAATAGAGTTTTACTTTTCAAAATTTCTATAAGTTCTAAGTCAATACAGTGGAAACAAACAAAAAGCAGAACAAAAAAAGCTGAAAGAAAGCATTCTGGAATGAAATAGAATCAAACAAATCAGAGTTCAAATCCTGGCTTGGCCACATACTACCTGTTTAACCTTAGATAAGCTAACCAGTATGTTTGGGACTCTTTTGTTTTCATCTATCAAATGGGGGCAGTGATAAAAATCTCAAAGTGTAGTCATGAGGACTACATAAGAAAATATATGTAAAACACACTCTGTTACACATAATAAACTGAATAAACAAAAGCAAAGCAAGGACTTGTGACATTCTGAGAAGAGGATGGGTGATCAGCCTGCTGATACTTTCTAGATTGAACCTCTAACTCTTCGCACTAAGCTCTCAACTGAGCTTTATGCATATACTCGATTGCCTACTTAACATCACCATCAAGAAGAATAGGGAGCATTCCAAATATAACACATCAAAGTAATGTGTCTCCAACATCTTCATCATCTTAGTAAATGGCCCCATCATTCAAAATGCTTGTTGATGTCAGAAACAAGAGTCCATTTGATTCCTTTCTAATTATAGCAAATCGTTGTGCTGCTTCCCCATTGCTCCACCCCAGTGGGGCCCTTTGTCATTCTTCATCTTGCCTGCCGCAATGCTCTCCACCGATCTCATAGGTATTCCTGCTTCCTTTCTGGTTCCTCCATCCTAAATCCTTCTTGACAGAGCTTCCCAGAAAATATTTGTAAAATAATGATCACTTAATATCATTCCTCTGCTGAAAACTCTTCGCTGGTTCCTTACTGTCGTTACAGTAAAACCCAAACTCCTTAACCGTGGCCTCACAGGTTGATAGCTCAATGCTCTGCCCCCCACCCACTTCTCTGGTTTCATCTTGCAACATCCCTTGCTCACTTTTCTCCAGGCACGTTATTCCTACTTGCCTCAGAGCCTTTGAACATGATGTTCCTGTCCCTGGAATGCTTTGTCCTCGGATCTTGGCATGCCCAGCCCCTTGTCATTCAGGTCTCAGGAAAAATCTCTGATCTCCAGCTTAATGTATGTCTTACCATTCCACCCCAGTCATTCTCCAACTCATTTCATTCTACTTTATGGAACTTATCCCCACCTAGAATTAACTTACTCATAATCTGTATATTTTTTATTGTCTGTCTCTCCCAAATAGAGTGCAAACTTTATGAGAACAGTGACACAATCTGTATTATTATCGCCAAATCCTCACGGTTCCTAAAACTGAAATGCAGTCCTACAAAATATTTGTTTGATGAATTTTCTGAGTGAATTTCACTGATCTAGAATCAGTTTTAAACCCTGTTAAGTGGCGATAATAACATTTATGCCAGAGCTCCTGAGAGGATTACATAAAATAATGTAATATATAACGCAACTGAAAGCTACCTTGCTAGTGCCTTAACCAAAATGAACATTTGCCAATCCATGGCTATTAATGTTATATTGTTAGTATTCAAGTGTCATTTAGTAAATAAAAACTCTTTTTGACAGGTTACTGAATTTTAATTTTCCAATTTTTAAATCATTGTCTTCATACCACAAGTCAGCAACTTTTAAGGAGGAGTGATAATAAAAATATAAAACTGGTAAATAACATAACCCTACTTATATGGCTTGGGGTGAGACACGTATGTTTTAGCAATTTAGCATTATTCACTCTGAAATAACCTTCTGAGCCAAGCTATCTTTATGATATGTCAATAACCATGACTCACACCAGGAAGGCAGTTACAGAACATTTTAAGAATGATTTCAAAAAAAAAAAAAAAAGACAGATTTCAGATTTCATAGCCTTTTTTTTTTTTTTTTTTTGGTCGCCATGTGAAATGCTGTCTTGGAAATATAACTGCTGACTTCCTATGATCACTTTTCATTCTGGTTGTGTAAATACTTTGCCCTTCTTGGATTTTTAAATAATCATGCACTTTGACTGTTTCTTTGTTTTTGTGTATTAGTGGTAAAGAGCACCAGTCAGAGGGTGTAAAAATATACACTGGGTATAATACATACCATGGTTTACTCAATGTGGGTAATTAAAAATTTTCAAATTACTTGCATCTACAATATATTAACTACTTAGATGGAAGCATTCAAAATTAATCTGAAGCTAATAATCTAATTTTCATAGACTAGGAAATTAAAATTCTTAGCTATTAATTAAAATGTCTTAAGGTATATATATGACAAAATATGAAAATATATGTATTAAGAAGAGATTATTGTATCTGAATTCTATTTCTCTGTAGATTTCAGAGTATGATCCTAGAGACATTTTTGCCAGACCTATTATTTTTATACAGTAAATGCTAGAATAAAATTGACAATCTGAAGGGCAAAATTTTATGTTAATTGTATAGAGTGCCTACAAAGACAACAACACAACCTGTGTGGTTTCTGTCTAGGAGTGGCCTGGTATTTCAGTGGAATTTTATATGGCACCTTCCATAAACACCAAGACCCAACAGTATACCGCTTGCCTCCCACATATTTATTCTGCCAATACTTTTCTCACAATGGCGGTTCCTTGCTATCTGTTTTTCTTCTTCACTTAAGCTTTTTAAACTCCAGGAGGGAAGAACCGTGTCTTCCTCAACTTCACCCAATAAATAAATTTGCAGGGCCCCTAAAATAGAAGTTAAACAGTTGTGCCTCCTGCGAGAACAAGGTGACTGGACAAGAAAACCAATCTTTTCCTCATAATTGAACCATTGTTAAATACAGTCAATCTATTATAGATGTAATTTAAAAAACACAAAAACGTAGCCAGGTTCAAAAAACATTTCCGAAAGCATTCATAACATCTTTTAACTATACCTGGTCATCCAGCGGTAACTCACAGAAGGCAGGAATATATTTAGCCCATTCCACCAAGACTAGGAGCTGTTGCTTCATAGATTCACAGACATCACCGATACTTGCAATCTTCTTAACATTTATGTCAGTGCTTGTGCCAGGGCTTGAGACTGAGATCTAGCATGAAGAAGATCACCTTAATTTATCATTTAAAGCTTTGAAGTGGGCACTCCCATTGCCACAGCATCTTGAGATACACAGAACATTTTAAAATGGAGAAAAACATACCTATATGTACAAGCTAAATTGGAAACATTCACTGCACAGTACCATGCTCTGGGAGCAGTACCTTTTTCTTACGGGCAAAACCGCAAAATAACTGACTCAACTTTCAGCATTTTCCTAATTCAAAATAACTATACAAAAAGATATGCCGTAGTCACATGAAATATGCTCTATGATCTTATTTTTATGAAGAAAATGTTTCCAGTGCATACAGTTCACCAAACTGAGGAAAAAAGATTTAGAAGAGAAGCCAGAACTAGTGATGTTGCTGCAGGAAATGGAAGCCCATCAAAGTAAAAGTAAGAAACCAACTCTTGACTCAGCAACATTGAAAAGCTTAACCTGTAATGAAAAAATTTTCAAATATATATAATTTTGAACTAGATAAAATATAAGTGGTTTGAAAATGCTTTTCTGCTAAAAATTGCTTTCTAAAAGTTCTTATAAACTTAATTTTTGAGCATGCAAGTGTGTGTGTGCGTGTGTCTTTCTATGCGTTTATCTCTTCACAGCTTCCCTTAAGCCATTTTGTAAATACTCGATAGGATCATCAAGTAATCTTCAAGGACTGATGATAATGGGGATGTTAGCCTCATCATACCACCCTCATGCTATCAAAAATGAAAGTAGTTGCACTGACTCATACAGAACCTGATTAATAGTTAGCTATTTCATAACTTTTTATAATAGAAAAATATCATTAACTTTTCTAATGGGGCAATGCTAAAATAAACTGTCTTCAAAAGGTTTCCTCATTTGATTTTTTTTTTTTTCACACTGACCAGTTTATTACAAAGAATACAATTCAGGAAAAGCCAAATGGAAGACATGCATAGAACAAGGTAGGTAGGTAGGGGTGTGGAGTGGTAGAGAGCTTCCAGGCCCTCTTCAGAGAAATAACTTTTGAGAATATTAATGTGTTCACCAACCTGTTGTTCAAGAGTTTTTATAACCCAGTCTTCAGCTCCCTCCCTTCACAGATAGCCAGTGGGTGGGGCTGAAATTTCCTATCCTTGAATCCCAATTTGGTCCTTCTGCTGACCAGCCCCAAACTGATTTCTGGGACCCGCCCTATGTCACCTCATTAGCATGAACTCTGGAGAGGTCTGCTGGAGATTTTATGACTAACAAAAGGCCCCCTTATCACTCGGGAAATTGCAAGGATTTTAGGTCTTTTTAAATTTTTTTTTTTTAAGCAGGCTCCACACCCGAACATTTTTAAACTTTGGAACTGATACTCTCATTCTAGAAATTTAAAATAATAAACTCCTTCACCATTGGTTTCTGGATTCTGGCTCTTCCCTTAAATACTTGTTTCCAAAGCAGATGCCGAGGTGAGTTCTTGAGTTCAGAAACCATTTTCAAGGAAGGAAGCTCTGATGATAGGTCTCAGCCAAGCTCCCCAAAAGTCATAGTAACTGAGTTTACAGATTTAATCAGTAAAGCAGGCTACTGCCTCCAGAGGATTGTGTTATGCATTCAGTATTTTAAACCAACCTTGTAAACAGACTTTCATTTAACGACATTAGACTGACATACATTGTATTTTTCTGTTTAAAAACAGGAAGTTGTCCAGGAGGAGTCAAAATTAAGTCAATAGACCACCTAATATTTTCAAAGTAAAACTGTAATTCATTTTAGAAATGAGCCCACTTAAATGGACTTAGATTATTTTCAGATTATGCCTAAGTAGACATTTGATAGTATTGAACAGGACTGGATACTGGAGCGCAGCAGGTACCTGGCGAGACCGAATTTCTGCTTGTGCCAGTGTGTTAATGGAGGGAATGTTGCTGCCATCGAATGTGCTTCTTCTGGTGCTTATTCTATCGCGTTCGTTTTGCACAGCTAGGGGAGAAAAATCACAGTATTCATTGGTCAGTTCTTTTCACTACATGTCAGGAAATACAGTTTAAAATTTAAAAGTAATAGTATAAAAAGTAAGAAGGGGTAAGGGGCAGAGGGGGAAGTATGGTATGACTGAGGATATTCTTCAAAAAAGTAGAAGGCCAGGCCTGTCATTAGAGCTCATAAAAGATGATTTTTTGAAACTTCATGATTGCAGCCGTGTCAGAAAGTGTTGGGTCAGTCAGTTCAACCATGCAGTATCTGTAATAGGATGGCTTTCCATTCTCTCAAAGTTAATAAACTGTAAGATAAGTAGAAGGAGAGTATAGCCTGTGAGACTGATCAAGTCAGAGTATATCCACCATCAGAAGATACAAATCATAGATTTTGAAACTTCCATTTTTTTTTACTAAAACACTAGCAGAAATGGAATTTCTGAGTGAATTTATTTAGTTAAGGTGATTTTAAGCTTGCAATCTCATGATCTCTTATGAAACAATGTCCTCAGGACAGTTTACAAGCATTAATAAAGCAAAAATTGCAGGAAGGGGTGTCTCCTGAGGAGATTGAGGTTTGAACATCAGCATTTTGGAAAGGTGAAGACATCTTAAGTATCATATAAAAAGCTTCTAGGAGAGAGCTAGATCTACTTGTTTCAGAAAGGAAAGGGAAAGTAATGTGTGTTCTTATTGAGCCACGCAGGCTCCCCAAAAACTACATAGTAGGGAGTATTACCTTGTATATCTGTCATATAAAGAATAATATAAGGGGTGCCTGGGTGGCTCAGTGGGTTAAGCGGCTGCCTTCAGCTCAGGTCATGATCCCAGGGTCCTGGGATGGAGCCCCACGTTGGGCTCCCTGCTCAGCAGAGAGCCTGCCTCTCCCTCTCCCTCTGCCTTCCTCTCTGCCTACTTGTGCTTTCTACTCTCTGTCAAATAAATAAATAAAATCTTAAAAAAAAAAATACTAGAAGTCAAATATCAAAGTTAGATTTTACTTATTTACTTATTTTTTTTAAAGATTTGTTTATTTATTTTGAGAGAGAGTGAGTGAGTGAGCACAGAAGTGGGAAGGGCAGAGGGAGAAAGAGAGAGAATCTCAGTCTGACGTGGGGCTCAATCTCATGACCATGAGCCAAAACCAAGAGTCTGATGCTAAACCGACCGAGCCATCCAGGTGCCCCTCAACATTAGATTTTAAAACTTAGGAGATAAACATATCTTCTATTAACCAAAAAGAATGAAAACAAGGCCTGTAGCCCCTAAATGATTTAGATCAATGCTCTACCCTGTTCTGCTGGAGAGAGAAGACATAAAACTATTATAATTTTTATGCAATTATTATTTTATTAAAGAGATGCACCAATTTCTATGCCAAAATCTACTATCTACCCCAAACTTACTATTAACCACCAACTCATTAATTTGGAAGAGAAAATACTGGACTTTTGCCTTTAAGAGTGAGTAGTATTTAAGTTGGGAATGAATCATTAATATTTTATCTTAAAATCATATTTACTGGTAGCTTACTCTTTTTTCCCCCCACAGAAATTGTCATTGATTTTCAGCCTAAACTGACTCACATGGAAATGCATATGTGGAGATAAAAAATTAAAATGTAAGCTATGCTTTTATGAATTTCATTTACATGATTAATCCTTAGAAACACATCAGAAGAAATTGGGAACATTTGTAATCTTCTTACTGCTATCATTTTTGACATAAAACCATGCTTATATACGTTTCTATCCAACTAACCTTGATATTATGTTATTAATGTAAATAAGAGAAATATATCTACTTTGAAACCCAAAAGTTACTTCCTAATCTATTAAAAAAAAACTAATGCATTATTCTATGAATGGTAGGAGACATAATTTAACTATTTTTGAAAGTAATTTTCTTTCAAAACCTGTGAACTCTTAAAGGAAACAGAGGATTGCGACTTCCTTATACTTTTGTAGGAGTAGTGCTGGGGTTCAAATAGAAATAGATGAAATTGATTGACAAAGTATGTAATTAATAAACTACTAAATATGCTATTAGAAATAAGTCATTTTGTAATGACAAAGTGTTTCTCCTTTAATTTTGTGAACTTTGTCTTCTTTTGGAGACTAGCAATCTGAATGAAACCAATGGAATTTTGGTCTCTTTAAAATACTGTGACAAAGAAAAGACTAGCTATGTTCAATATAAGTTTGATACATTTTACATTTCTGTAGTATATTAACTTGATTTAATTCTTTTATGGTTTGCGAAATAGTTCTGAAAAATATTTCTTTGTATATAATAGGCATAAGCATGTGAACTGATAAGCATAAGATACTGCAGTGGTTATCCCCTGCCCAATGTTTACATGTGTTCAACAGATTTATTTCCAAATTAACCATAGTCAGAATGTAGGATATTATAATAAGATTAGTCACTACCTTCGAAATGAAATTAATGCACACTAAAACAGAGTATCTAGTCCATTGTCTCTGTTCCTCAATGGAATATAAGCTCCCTGAGAGGGAGGACTCTTTTTTCTGTTATGTTCACCACTGAAGGCTTAGCAACTGCAACAGTTTTTAGAAAGAAGTGCTCAAGAAATATTTGTTAAATAAATAAATCAGTGAATAAAAAGTTAATGTTCAATCAATGTTTATGGGATGAGCAAAGATATTCAATTATTATTGACAATAAGTATGTGTTTAAAAATAACATTTATAATTTCAACCTATTAGTAGATTTTGCATTTATCTTTTGAACAGGATATCGGTATATTATTTAGATAATAATTTTGTTTCCAGGTGTAACACAGTAGTAGAGGTAATACTGTCTGGAATCAGACAATCATCAAAGACTGGGTGTCAGTGTCCTTGGGTAAATTCCTAAACTCAGGGAATTATAGATTCTTCATTGAGAAAAATCAGAATTCATGTGAAAAGGTTATTGTGCTTAAATGAGGATGTATGTGTATAACAATTTCCATCAGTAATTATTATTATTATACTATATATTATTACCTTCTTTTTTCATTCCTGCTCTAAAACACTTTCTTAATCGACAATATCTACATTGATTCCTTTTGTCCTTGTCAACAACACATTGCCGACTGAACCTATAATATCAAACAAAGATATATTAGTTTGCAGAAAACTGTTTATCAAAACAAAAAACAAAACCAAACACGCACAAATAAACAGATAAATAGACCTTGCATAAATATGGTCAAATTTGGCCCCAACAGGAAGAATGTGTAAGAACAATTACCTGCAACTTTTCCAGTCTAATGGTCAGCATGTACATGGAAATACAAGCCTTACTTCTCATGCAGTCTTTATAATAAAATAAAATTGACTTTTATCTGACTTTTCACCAGTATACATAGTATACATTATCACTTCCATGAAAGCCAAACCTAGTTTAAAAATCTTTGGCATGTGAGTTCTAATTGTTTATTACTAAATGATTTCAATGTAATAGAGAATATATCAGAACATCATTCCTCTGCACTTGCATGCTTTTCTCTTTTTAAATATTCTTCTATTAATTTCAAATGTGCCTCACATCAATTGAAATTTACTCTAACTGCCAAATTACATATCCAGAGGCGGTTGAAAACAGCATTTAGAGTATGGTCTCTGCATAATTAGGTACTACCTCACAGCCACTAAAATGGCTATAATCAGAAAAAATAAACCAGACAATAACAAGTGTCAATGAGGATGTGGAAAAATTGGAACCCTCATACATTGCTTTTGAAATATAAAATGATGCAGCTGCTTGGGAAGAAATTTTGGCAGTTTTTAAAGAGAAGTTAGATATTAGAGTTACCATATAATCCAGAAATTCCACTCCTATGTATATATCCAAAAGAAATGAAAATATATGTTCACATAGAAAAGTGTACACAAATGTCCAAACCACCATTATTCTTAAAAACCAAAATGCAGGGACAACGCAAATGTCCATCAGCTGATGAACAGATAAATAAAATATGGTACACCTACACAATGGATATTATTGTTTGGCAATAAATGGGAATGGAGTGCTGATACATGCTACAACATGGATGAACCTTGAAAACATCATTCTAAATGAAAGAAGTCAGACACAAAGACCACATATTGTAGACAGGCACTCCTGAGAGATACTGCTGTTTTGGTTTCAGACCACCACAATAAAGCTAGTATCATAATTAAGTGAGTCAAATGAAATTTCTTGGTTTCCCAGTGTATATTAAAGTTATGTTTACACTAAACTGTAATCTATAAAGTGTTCAACAGCATTGTCTAAAATAACAATGTAATACCTTAATTAAAAATACTTTATTGCTAAAAACTGCCAACCATTATCTGAACTTTCAACGAGTTGTAATCACTGATCACAGGTCACCATAACAAATATAATCATAATGAAAAAGGTTGAAATATTGCAAGAATTACCCAAATGTGACTCACAGACACAAAGTGAGCAAATACTGCTGGAAAAATGGCACCAACAGACTCGCTCAATGCAGGGTTGCCACAAACCTTCAACTCGTAAAAAAAAAAATTCAATGTCTGTGAAACGTAATAAAGTGAGGTGTGTCTGTAATTTAATTTATATCAAAAGTCCTGAAGAGGCAAATCTATAGAAACAGAAAGTTCATTAGTCGTTGCCTGTCATTGGAGGGAGGGAGTTAGGGGAAATGGGGAGCAACAGCTTAAGAGTAGGACTTCTCTCTATAGACTAAGTTGGTTGTAGTGATGGTTGCACAACTCTGTGAAAATAATCAAAACCTGAATTGTACACTTAAAAAAAAAGGGTACATCTTCTGGAATTAGATGTGAGCTTGATTTCCAGGTCCACCATTCACTCCTGATGGAACGTGGGGATGTTATTTTACATTCCCAAATTAATTTATAGCTGTCAAATTGGAAGGACTTTCAGTAAAAAGTTGTGTGAGTGTAGGGTAAATATCAATCATTGGCTTTGGGGCAAATATCAATCATATAGTAAAATAATAATATTTCTTCAAAATTGTGTCATAAAATTACCCACATCCACATGTATTGATGTATTACTGATTATTTGTGGCTGATTATTAATGATGGGAATAAAAGAACCTATCTGGTGATCTATAAAAGAAGGTATTTCTTCTAAAAATGATGGGTAGCCACTTTGAACTGACTGAATATAAAGTCTACTATAAAAGAACTGGGCCAGAAGAGAGAGATTTTTAGGATGAGGAAAAAGAATTGTTCACTTGGGAATTCATGGCTTCAGGGGAGGGAATCCGATTACTAATCAATACAAGAGGAAAACACACCCAATTAACATTAATGAAAAAATTGAATAAACATATTAAGCACCTTCTGTGTACAAGATCCTGGTATAGGGATTAAACAAAGGAATATGACCTGTCTCCTCCATTCAGGGAAACTACAATCTAATAGAGTACACATACAAGTTTACAAACAGCCATAATAAAGAAAACATGATGTGAGAAGTATTGAAATAGCAATTTAAAGTGCTTTGGGACAGAAAGCCCAACTTCAATGGGACGGAACAGCTAGAGTGAAATGAAATTTGTATATCTGAGGAAATGGATAAATTTGAGACCAGCAAAATCTGAGCTTAAAAAACCTTTACTCTCCTACACCTTCATCATTATAATAACTATTTTCCAAATGGAAAATCATAGCATTTGCTTAATACCAAAATATGTAAAGAAGGCTAAGTTGGCAGCAATACTCACGATGGGAAGGTGTGAGGAGTTAAACTGTACATGTGGTGGGAATATTTTTTAAATTCCAGAAGTTGTTATGGGAACACTCCTTTCTCACTTTGCCCATACAGGAAGGGAGGAAATCTTGGAAGCACATGGTGCTGATATTTTCTGATTCTTAAAAGTCTTTGTGGGATTTAGTTGTTTGGATCACACCATCTTTCATATATATGTATTTCATCTTTAACAGAACACGTGACTCAAAATATATTGTTTACATGTTATTTGTGTTTATTTTCGCTGTTAATTTTCTAAAAGCACTGAATATTTAATGTAATCATAGAGAAAATGCTTTTAATGAGGGAAATCTACTTGGTTTATTTTTTATATCTAGAGCTTTGATGTACATAAAAGCAAGAGTCATCTAAATATATTTTCTTGTTTATCAAGAAGGTTTTATTTTATTTTTTAAAAGATTTTATTTATTTATTTGACAGAGAGAGACATAACGAGAGAGGGAACACAAGCAGGGGGAGCCGTAGAGGGAGAAGCAGGCTTCCCACCGAGCAGGGAGCCTAATTTGGGGCTCAATCCCAGGACCCTGGGACCATGACCTGAGCCGAAGGCAGACGCTTAATGACTGAGCCACCCAGGTGCCCCCAAGAAGGTTTTAAAGTGGATGATGGACACTTTTTTTTTTAACCAACTTTTTAAGCCCTCCTGGAAAAATTACTAGAGAACACTAGTTAGATATTTGGAGAGTTATATATTAACTTTTTTTCCAAATCCCTAGAAATCAAATGGCATCATACTGTAAGGGAGATAACTTTTTACCAAATGTCCAGCTTGTTCTCAAGATAACATAGCAATTCTATACATGCTTTTCATCAATAGAGCAAGCTTTGATATTTTTCTGTTAGCATCAGTCATTGTTTTAATCGTCCATATTTCACATAGATGTAATCTGCATTCCAGAACTGTCATTCTGAACACTCAACGTGGACGATCTAACCCTAACTTGTACTATGATGTTGACTAGATATTTTTTTAAAAGCCTACTAGAAACATGTGACATATACAGTATAGTTAAATACATCTTAGACAAGACACTGAATTCAATGGCAAAATTGTGGCATGAGAAATACATTTCAAATTTTAAGATTGAAAATTTAATTTCATTCACTGACTTTGACAAGCTACCAAAATCATCCACACTTTAATAATTTTGTTTAAAAGACTCAGGAGGTAGAGATGTTGAAAAGAAAATCAATATGCAGAAAAATACACAGATTGTGAAACCATTTAAATATAGATTTAAATATGTCCATTGGTAATGTGAACATGTGGTAAAACAATAAAGGAACATAAAGAAAAGACAAACACCAAATTTCAGACAGCAGTTACCTCTGGGAGAGAGGAGAGAAAGAGAAAGTGATAGAAGAAGTGTGTTCACTAGAGGCTTAGACTATATTGGTCTAGGTTGGGTGATAAGTATGTGGATTTTTATATACATTTTATAAGACTAAAATGTTTCATAAAAAAGAACCACCTCTGGGAATGCATCCTGCATACACACCCACATATCCTTACTTTTAACACAGCTTATTGATTTTGTTTGTATAGTCACAGAATTATGAAAGGTCTGTGTTTCTTAAGATTTTATTTATTTATTTGAGAGCGAGAGCAAGAGAGCAAGTGAGGGGAGGAGCAGAGGGAGAGGGACAAGCAGACTCCACGCTGAGGTGGGAGCCCGACTCGGGGCGCCATCTCACGACCCTGAGATTATGACCTGAGCCAAAATTAAGAGTTAGGTGGTTAACCGACTGAGCCACCCAGGTGTCCCAAAAGCTCTGATTTTATTTCCTTACTTCTTGCACGCCATTTTGAAATGCCTCTAAAGATAACTTTCTCAAAAGGAGCATCTCAAGTACCTGCAGGAATAAACGTGACTCTTGCGTATGCTGCGTCTGAAGAAGCCCTTGCACCCATCACAGCTTGATGCTCCATAATGTTTTCCCGTTGCTCTGTCCCCACATATAGCACATAGACAGTTGACACCATTGTCTGTGGTATTCATACTTGTTGTCTCTGGAGCAGAGTTATCTGTTAAAGAAAAAGCAGAGTAGCCTTCAAGTTAACACTAAGTATTTCTTATTTATATTACCCTATGAATTATTCACAGGCTCAAAACAGTCCATTTCCTTGACCTCTTAGAGCACACCAGTGCTCTCCTTTTAACCACCGACCACTTCTTCTAGTCTCCGTTCCAGTCTTCCCTCTCATATTTCTGAAGATTAAACTTCGGGACACCATAGGTCTCAGTCCCCGTAAATATACTCTTTCCCAAGGAAAGCCCATCTGGTCCCATTGTGTTAAACATCACGTGCATGAGAGAAAATCCCCAGATTTTATCTCTAGTTCTGATGTCTTCCATGGGTATCAGTCTGAAATGCCCAAATAACTATTTAACAACTTCACTTTAAAGTTTAATAGAGATTGCTAATTAATGTATCAAAAACAGAACTCTTCTATTTTTCCCCTCAAACTTGTTCTTCCTTCAGTCTTCCCTATGTCAGTCAGTCAATGGTACCATCCAGTACCTAGGACCAATAACCTGGTGGTCTTCATTGGATTCTCTCCTTCATTGTTCATATCCAATCTAATACTAAGTCCATATTTGAAATACATATTGGATCCACAACTTTTCACCCTTTTTCCATGGCCACCCTTATCCAGTCAACTATAATCTTTCCCCTAGATTACTGCAATAGCCTCTTATCTAATTTTTCTGTTTCCACCCTTGCTCCCCTACTGTTTATTACCCCAAAGTGCTTTTGGAATAAGAAATTCACATCATATTAGTCTTCTGTCTCCAACCCTCAGAAACAGAATAAAGCCTACGCATCTCAGGCTTGCTGTAAAGCCTTGTGTGATAAAGCCCCCTCCCATCTCTCTGACTCCATTACTTGGTACTACTTTCCATCCTGTTCACTCTTCAACAATGTTGCCTTTTTAACCCCCTTGGAGTTGGCTCCCATCTCTGAATCTTTACACTTGCTGTTCCTTCTGCCTCCAAGGAAAGTTCTTCCTCAAGGATGTCTTTGAGCTGGCTATCTGATTTCTGCTCCCATCTCTCACTTTCTGTGAAATATTCTCTGAACACACATCTAAGAATCACCCCTCATCTGCCCTTCAAGTAGAATCTAGAACTCTGATTATTTTTTAAATAACTACTTCATTTTTAAAAATTATCTTATGAACTAGTCTGTTCATTTACCACCCCTCTTTCCCTACAGAATATAAACTTCATGATGTTAGAGAACTTAAGATCTGTTGTACGCACCCCTGTCTTCCAGCTCTGAGAACTGTGCCTGGCATAAAGTACGCATCTAATCCATAGATTCCTCTTTTGGAGGAAGAGGCTTAAAAAACTCCACATAAATATTTTTATTTAAATGGTTTCTTAAATGAATTAGTATTATTGATTACATCTTTAAAAATCTGTATGGACTCAAAAGACATTGAATATAAAAGACACTGAATATAGGTAATATATTAAAAATTATCATAATATTGTATGGTAATATAAACATAATAATAATGCATATTTTGAATATAACAAAAAATAAAATTAAAGGCTGTCATGTACCATTATATTCTGTGAAAACACACATATTTTACTTAATAATACTTCTGAGTAGACAGACATTACCATATATAATTTCGTCAAGTTAAGAAAAACCTTAAAGAGAATATGTTTAAGGGTTAATCATGTGATGTTATGGAGTTTAAAGCTAGGAATTTTTCTTTTTGGTAATATAAACAAAATAGGTATTAGAAATATGACAGAAGTATTAGGATTGATTGTATTCTAGATTTATGGAAACAGGAAAAAAATTCAACTCTTGCTTCCAGTTTAATGCCATAATTACATATTGTTAACAACACTAATTCTCTTTGTGCTAAAATTTCAGAATTCATCTTCTGAGGATTAAAAAAAATCTTCCACTAATAAGCTATTGTTTATTATAAATATAACGAGAACAGCAGTTGTAAAACTGAGGAGCATAGCAGAACATTACCATATCCTGAGTATAAGATACATTCTCAATCCTGAACTACACACACACACACACACACATTTTTCAAAGTATATATAATACTAGATTTGAGGTGTTCTAACAATTATAAGTAATCTTGGACAAGATTTTTACTTGGAAAAAACCTAAATACAAAGTCAACAGTAAACTGTATTATATAAAGACATGAACTCTAAACAATTCATGCCTTATTTAAAGTTAAAAAGTTACAGTAGATAAATACCAAGAGCTTTGTGAGGCTAAACATTAGCTTTTCAAGTAGTAAGGTTATAATATAAGCCTTTCTTTCCTTTCATATTGTGTTCAGTGCAAAAACTTAGAGTAATTTTAAATGCAGTTTCTCGTCAGCAGCCATTGAGAACTGAGATGACAGGAGGAGGCAACCAGTAAAAGCCTCCAGCGTTCCGTATGTCATTTTAAACACCGCATAGAAATGTACTTCACAGCCAGTCTGCCAATATTACTTACTCCTGTGATTTACAGTAAATAAAGTAACTGATGAAACTGTTCTTTTTTACCTTAACTGGCCCATGACAGAATTCTGAGGTCACTTTATTACGCATAACTAGACTTTTAAAAAGTCTCAACATAAACGAGCCATAACATTATTAATTTCAATTTTGTGAGGAAATGCAAAAGCTCAGATACGTGGTTTTAAAAAGCAAGCCCCGAGTTCTTCAGCAAGAAGACACAGAGCTACCACCTGGGAAGCTCAGTTTGTACCCCTCCCATTATACCTGCTTTCCTTTATGTCTCCAAGCAGATGAGAACTCACCATTTGAATTATATAGAATCTGCATAGTTTCAAACTCCAAAGTTGTATAAGTTGGGTCCAAAACTTCACTGTAATTTGCCATCTCCATGTCCAGTATCGGTTCTGATACCCTCATCATTGACTTAGAAACACACATGCAAGTGCCACCACAGGCCAGTGCTGCTGGGCTTTCAGTCTGTGAGTGATAATCCACAGTTAACTGTTACTGTTAACAGTGACTTATGTGGGAGGAGCTGTAAACCTGGAAATTCCTCTGCAGGCCATATTCTGCTCACTTCTTTCTCTTTTATGGCATACGAAAGCAATTCCTTGTGATAATCTTGGAATGCTTCATGGAATCACCTTATCTGAAGTGCTTAGTGGACGAACCTGATTTCCTAAATCGATTTCCAGTAGACAATAAATGATGTCATTAAGTAGTTAAAAATAGAAAAGAGAATCTCTCAGGTTTCAAGTATTTGTGACATGATTTATCCCATTAGGGGCGGAAATCACATACCACATGTTCTAAAAGATGGGATTTTACTGTTATGAATCAAGTCAAGACTGTAAGTTAACACTTAACATAAGCACTTAACGATTTCAATTTTTCTTACCGTACAATAAAGCTAACTTTGTTTATGTTGGGGTAAAACACTTGTAATTTGAAATGACAGGGATTTATGATACATTCCAGTAGTAGCCTGGACATAACCCTAATATGGCTTCACATATTCTCCTTAACTATCTCCTTATGAATCTGTGTCCCTTGAATGTTTGTAAACTTCCCAAGGACAGAACCACTAGAGTTACTAGTACATTGTAGGCGTTCTATAAAAACAGCTACATGAATAAGCTTTCATTTCTTTCGACATCTGATGCTTATTACATTCTAGGCACTGAACTGAAATAAAATTATCCCTAACGTGTGTGGATCTATCCATTCCCATCATCAACCTTCTAATACCTAGCATCCATATAGCACAGCACACCTTTTCCACGCACACGTGACAAGGAACATTTAGAGTATGGGGACCATTTAGAAGATAGGAGTCAATGATTACATTTTGCTTCTGAGAATATGTTTACTGATTTTATTTTCCAAGAAAGAATTCCAGCCACATTTACGTTACAAAGTCAAAGTCTCATTTCCTACATTTGTTAAAGACTACGGCAAAGTAATATTTCTTATTCAATTTCTTAACACCATAAACCTTTTATTAAACCTTGTTTAATAAAATAAAAATATTTTATCTTAGAAAATTATTATATTTTTCATCCGGGAAGCCTGGCCTCTTAAAATAAACTCAAAACCATGGGAAGAATTTGTGAAGAAAATAGTGGAGTCATTTTAGCAACCAGAGTCACTAAATCAAACAGTGATCACTGGAATAGTCCACTTGCCTTCATATTCTGTAGCACTCCTAATTGTGAGGATCATATCTGAGGGATACATTTTAGGGACTGATTCTCTTTAGTGAAGGCTAACTGTACTTACTCAGTTTTTGGAGAACCAGACAGCAAGCGAATCCCATGGTTTTCATTTGCATGAATTAGTTATCTCTTGTGAAGTAACACAGACATGTTTCCTGTGTGACCCAAAGCAGTGAATTGTGCCCAGCTCACACTCTTTCTCATCTACGTGGTAGCTAAACAAGGCTGAGGAATATCACCCATAAAAGTGTCCCAACAGAAGGAAGAGAAGAAAAGAAAAAGGTGGAGACTCGTTCATTTATAGGGCTCAAAACACTAAGAGAAATGTGGATATAGCTCAGGAGAACAATGCTGTCATGGTTTATTGTTCTACTTCATCCTGTGTCCCCAGGTGGCATCACTATTGGATCAGGGCATTTTCCTTGAAGGGGGAAGGGTTACAGCTTATCTCAGCACAAGTAGTCACTAGCAATTCATCAGAGCTGGCTTTCAAGATGAAACCTGTTTCCCATCCATGTTACTGTAAATTATTTTTTACATTTTATAGAGTAAAAACTTGAGAATTTCCAGAAGATACAGCAGATCCAAATAGCAGGCATATCTCCTCAAGTGGGCAGTTTGTCTTCCTAATGATATTCAGATGTGGAAACACCCACAGCATCCAGTCAGCCTCAGTCCAGTGAAGGGAAAACTCTCTTTAGGTTTTACATTCTCGAAGAAATTAAAAAGTACCGTAGAGGACTTCTTAAGTGCTAGGATTGGTAATTTAATGAACTGGTTTAGTGAATAAAATAAATAAAACAGAGAATTGTGAAAATGGTTTATCTATTCTTAATAGTGTATTCAACTTAAATGTGTAAACTGCTGCTGTTTTGTTGGATAACCAAGACTTTTTGTTCGAATAAGTACCCACTGCTTGTGATTCTTTATTAAATCGTTTGTTTGCAGAAATCTCATACACTGCCTTTGACGTCGTTTTTTTTTTTTTTTTTTTAATGGAGGAAAAAAGTCAAAGCTATCAGTAAAACCTAAATGCAGAAACCTTCTAGAGTTATATACTTTTTCAAAATATTTTATATATTTTAATCCACTTGCTTTCATCCACTTCCAAAGTATTCTCCTAGGTTTTTATTGGGGAAAAAAATCTCTTTTAACACTCAGGTTTCAGCAAATTATGCAATGTTAACCTAAATCATGATGAAATAATAAGAACAAATGACATAACCATGCTACATAACAAATACAAATGCCCTTTGATAACTTTATGTAACTGGTCAGATGGTCAGGAGACATTGCAACACTATTCACAATAGCCGAGACAGAAACAATATAAATGTCCATATATGGATGGATAAAGAAAGTGTGCCATACAGTGAAATACTATTCAGCCTTAAAAAGGAATAAACTTTTGATACATACTACACCATGGATAAACCTTAAAAACATTATGCTAAATAAAATAAGCCAGTCACAGAAAAAGACACTACATGATTACAACAATACGAGAAATCTAGTCAAACTCATATATTCAAAGAGAGGAATGGTGGTTGCCAGGGGCCAGGAGGAGGGCGAAATGGGGACTTACTAATCAAAAAGTGTAAAATTTCGGTTAAGCAAGATGAATAAACTATAGATAATCTGTTGTACAACACTGTAACTGTCAATAATATTGTACTGTACACTTAAAAATTTATTCAAAGGTTGGTTTCATGTTAAATGTTCTTACTAAAATAAAATAAAATAGACTTATGAAGAAAATCTAAACTATATTATGGGAAAATGATCAATCTTATCAGTAATCAGAAAAAATGTAAAATAAAACAATTAATTCTATTAAACAAAAAAAAGGTGCCTACTACTTAAGGAAGTTAGCCTACCCTGAAAACTAATTAGTATGTTCCACAAAAGAAGTTGAAAACCTGAGTTAACCCAGGGAGTTGGCTAAAGGGAGATTAGAGTTTTTCTTGTATTGATTTTAACATGAGATAACTTGTTAATTAATTTCCTTATGACCAATCCCTCTTCTCTACTTCTAAAATTAATTAGTCTAAGTTCAGAATATTTTTATTTGCTTAAAAGAGAATAGGGAAAGGGCAACAAGATGGATGGGAAAGAAAAGAAAAAAAAGAAGAAAATGTCACAGAGAAATAATTTTAGTCATGGTTACTTTTAGATTTTTAATTATGCATCATAATCTAAGCAAGTATCACATTCTTTAGTATTTTTGTGTTTTCCATGCAAAAGTGATCGTTGAATTTTTATAATTTAGTAAATGTGATTCTTGGAAACATGTCCATGGCATAATTGGACAAAATAAAATTATGTAATTTAACTGCATAAACCTTAGATACATAAAACACTTATGGTATTTGTTTGCATATTTTCACATTAAAACTCAGCTATTTTCAGGAAAAAGACAGATGGACACCACACAGGGAGTCTTTCATTATTGCTTTACCTTGTACTTCTTATGGGTAAAATTCATTAAGGCTACATTAGATTAAAAGCTTAAGTAGTTATATTAATTTTATGCCTAGGTGATATAAAAACAATTATTCTTAAATAAATGGGACTTACTAAACCCTACATTCAGCATAAATTTATGAGTACTTTTAAGCTTAACTTCTAAAGGTTGAACTGGGAAAAGCATCAAAAATTCATACTAATTCCTAAGACAGTAATTTATAGTAAGTAGCATACATTTTCTAAAGTAGAACTGTATTAACTTAATCTAGGTCCAAAAATATAAATATATATGATAAACTATGACCTACTGAAAATCTCTCTTAACAGAGGTTACTTTGTAGTATATGTTCTGTAAGCTTAGCAAAATGTTGCTGTTCTTTGGGGTGATATCATGATTTATAGGCAAAGATGTACCTTCTCAGCCCCGATTCAGGGCAAACACGCCAAAGAGAAAAACATTATTGGTTAGATAAAAGGTCAATTTTAAAAAGCACAACTCATATTCCTGAAAAATGTTTCTCTCAGAGCAATGGTTTTCTAAACCGACATGTGAAATATGATATTTAAGTTTTTTTAGAGCAACATAAAGAGATGAAAACTACATGGTGTTTGAAGAAGACAACAACTCAATTCACTATTGACTATCCAAGATAGCAGAAACATTTCTATCTTATCTGTAAGACTATTAAGTCTGTTAAATTGTTCTATATTTCATATTTGATTTAATCATTCCCTCTAAGCATGTTTTAAAATAGAAAACAGGCTAATAAAAATCAAGGTTATTTTCATAAAAGAATGATCTTGATTTTTATTAGCCTGTTTTCTAGAAGTTTAAATTATGTAAAATAGTTTTCATGAAAATAATCTGGAATGTTAGTATCAATATTAAAACATTTCATATTAAAATTAGAGTTAATAAACTTTGTTCTGTAATCTGATTTCTTTGAGGTTACTTTTCATTACCAAAAATACTATATTAATCCCCAAAGCACATTGGTAGTTTCTCTTGTTTCCATATTCTACCTTTTCAAGTATGAAGATTACACAGATGTGATCCCTAGAAGGAGATGAAGAAGAGTAACTATCCACATCAGCTCAGTGTGGTCTCCAACATAAGGAAACCATTAAATGGAGAATCTGCCCAGTAAAATGACATATTAATCTAAAGCTAAGCTACCTTCCACTTCTCAAAAATCACTTCATTAAAAAAAAATTATTATTATTATTATTTTCCTTGCT